TCCGATAAAAATTATAAATAAAAACATTTAAAATAAAGGAAAAAATAATTTTAAATTTAAAATAATCACGGCATTTGATAATGATGTGATATAAAAATTATATTTATTATCTATTTATAGCAATAAATAATTAAAAAATAAAATTACAGGTCTCAGGAAATTAATAAATAATTTAGAAATTATTGAAAAGGACTTGATAATGTTTTTTTATTATAAAATATTAAATTATTACTAATCTTATCCCCTGCGGTCTGTATTCAGCAACTAAAGCTAGCTGGAACAGAAGCAAGCATTACTGCTAAACATGGCCTGTGTCTCTCATCTCCTTTTCAGAAGCCCGCCCGCCACCTTATCTCCTGTGTCTCTCTGATTGTTTTGTCGTCAACCTCCGGAGCTCTGATCTCGCGAAACTCAAACCGAAAGATGACTGAGATAAAACCCGAATCACCGAAGGAGCAACGCTTGATTATTGCCCACCAACCCGATATCTCCGACCCCGACAAGCGTCTCAAACCCAAGCGCGTCGCTTCCCTTGACATCTTCAGAGGCCTCACTGTTGCTGTACTCTCTATTTCTATTATATACTTATGTCTATATATATATATATATATATATATATATATCTCTGTAGATATACGTGCACTGTAGCTTTATAATAATCTGAAAACTCTTTCGCTTACTGCCTCTTACTGCTACGGTCATGTTCTGTACATATCTATATCAACTTATGGAGTGATTAATTGCGTCTGCTCTTTGCAGATCATGTGTTCATATATGCTTTTGTCAAGTAAGGATGGGTTTAGTTCAGTTATTTGATTTACTGGGTTTATGTCATTTAAGTCATTTGGTGATTTGTAGTTGATGATTTTGGTTGATGATGCTGGAGGGGAGTGGCCTGTGATTGGGCATGCGCCATGGAATGGCTGCAACCTTGCTGATTTTGTCATGCCCTTCTTCTTGTTCATTGTTGGCATGGCCATTGCCCTTGCCTTCAAGGTTTGCTTGACTTCTTCCCTTCGATCTTTTAATATCTTAATTATCAAAGAAAATGTAATGGATGAAGTCTTGAACATGAAGATCACTAAAATGATTATTTGGAATTTGTTCTTTTTGTAGTTATTTCTTGTTAAATTTCTTGTATAGAGAATTTCAAGCCTGAGACTAGCTCTTGAAAAGGTGATTCTTAGACTCTGAACTTCTCTTTTGGGGTA